GGTTGCTTCAGATCTCATTCGTGGAGTTCTGATCGTTTTGGTCCCTCTCTAGAACATCTTTCAGTAGCCTGTGTAGGGTTGGCTTTGTCATCACGAAATTCTTTAGCTGTTCTTTGTCATGGAAGTGGTTCACTTCTCCATCAAACTTAAAAGTTTTGCAGGGTATAGTAGTCTGGGCTGGAATTTTTTTCATAGAGGACCTGAAGTGCATCTATCCTCTATACTCTCTGCATGGATTTCAGCTGCAGGGTTACACCCCAGGCATGTATGCCAGGCCTGAGCTGTTCCTGGAGGGGCAAGGTGGAGTAAGGGGGAGAGGAAGCTCTCCCTCACACTCACTGGGTCTAGGCTAGGATTGGGTCTGGGGGTTCCCGGAATGCACCAGAAATTCCTACTGGGCGGGCAGGGTGGGGGAGGTGCTGCGGAGCAGTTGGGTGCGTCCCAAGGGGGTTGGAGAGGGTCTCTCCCATACTGCGCCTGGGCTGGGAGTGATATTTGGTCCGGCTGGCGCAGGTTAGCAGGAAGCTCTCCCACACACTCACCAGACCTGGGCTAGGACCAGGTCTGGGGGTTCCTGGAAGGAGGCAGAAATTCCTACTGGTCGGGCGGGGTGGGGGAGGTGTTGCGGAGTGGTGGGGGGCCTCCCAAGGGGGTGCGAGAATGTCTGGCCCATGCTGCGCCTGGGCTGGGACTGTTCCCGCCGGCACAGGTAGCAGGAAGCTCTCCCACACACTCACTAGACCTGGGCTAGGACTGGGTCTCTTTTCCATTTTAATTATTATTAATGATGGCAATGAAACATCCATGGATTTGTCTTTTCCCTAAGGCAGAAACACCCTCAGTAAATTCCATGCCCTGGTATTTATCACTTATTAGCCAAAAGTACTATGGCAGCATAAGCTAGCAAAGCTTCTGTAAAGTGACAGTGTGAACTAAAGTTCAGTAGGTAGATGTCTGTGTAGCACACAGTATGCAGTTTTATTACAAGCTTCTTTTTTTGTGATACAAAGATGTGAATTTGTTTTAAATGTACTTTAGGAGAGTTCAATGTTTTCTTAAGCTTCAAAAAGAAGTTCCCAACAATGTTGAACATACTAGCTAGATAGGTCTGCAAACAACAGTTTATCTATAATCTCTTTCACCACCTTATGGACTTAACAAACACCATGAGTATACTATTGATTTATGAAACATTAAGAAGTCTAGCTGTCGTCTTTACTTGCGGAACTTGGGGGAGGGGCTCATCTCATAAATTATATAAGAGAGCTTATCTCTTGAGCCTAATAAACTCATTGTGTAAACTTGGTCCCAATATTCTATTTAGATATAACATTCTATAGCTGTATATTATAATACATGGTAATTTGATGTGTAACATGTAATGGTTAAATTAGAGTGATGAGCATATCCATCCTCTTCAAACAATAATCATCTACGTATGTTGGAAATTTCATACTCTTCTCTCAATTCTGACACATCGTAGAGTGTTTTAACAATAATATACAAACCCTTCCTCTTTATAGTTCGATGTTAATTTCTAAAACTCCTTTCCAGCCTCTTAACTCCTACTCATGTGGTCTCTAGGTATCAGTTTCATTCCATTCTTCCACAAGATCAACATTTTAGTTTGTACAGATGAGATCATGTTGTGCTTGTCTTTCTTTTCCTGACTTGTTTCACTTAACATCATGACTTCCATTTTCACTCATGTTGTTTCAAATGGTAAGATTCCATTTCATTTTCATGGTCAAATAATATTCCATTGCAATTTCACATTTTCCTTATCCTTTCACTATCTTATCCATTCATGGAGACTGAAGTTGAACTCCATGTTTTCGCTAGTATGAATAGTGCTGTAATAAACATGGGAGCTGGGATACCTTTGTGATATGTTTTCATCTCCATATATAGATAGATATGGATATGGATATATGTGCCCAGAAGGGAAGTTGTAGATCTATTCTTTTTATAATGGGCATTTTAGCTAAGCAAACTAAGGTCTTTCTGATGTTTTTATTTATTTATTTATTTATTTATTTATTTGTGTGTGTGTGTGTGTGTGTGTGTTGCCAGCTCAGCCCACCAGGGGGCGGGGCTGGCTGGCATGTGGTGCTGGGGGATTGAACCCTGATCCCTGTGCTTTGCTAAGCTTGTTCTAGGTAGGTGCTTTAGACCACTGAGCCATCTCGCCAGCCCCTTTTCTGATGTTTTGATTTGCATTTCTCTGATAAGATTGGGTATTTCATTCTTAAGTTAGTTGTCCATTACTATTTCTTCCTTTGAGAACTGTATATTTATACTTTTCACTTATGAAATAATTGGATTATTTGTGGGTTTTTTGTTTTATTTTGACATTTAGCATTTTGAAATCCTTTTTTACATTCTTGATAATAATCCTTTGGTGGATTAATAGTTTGCAAATATTTCTCCTATTTTGCAGATTGTCACAGAGTTCTTTTACTTGTTTTCTTTGCCATATCGAAGCTTCTTAGTTTGATATCATATTTGACTATTTTTACTGTTGTTGAGTTTTCTTTTGAGGTCATACCTTTTTTATCTTTTATTAATTTGTTTATTTATTTGATACATGGTCTTGCTGAGCAGCTCAGAGTTGTAGTGATCCTCCTGTCTCAGCCTCTCAAGTGCTGTGATTACAGGCATGCAACCACACCTGGTTTCATTGCCAGCACAGCTCATCTGGAGTTGGCATGGGATACAGTGCCAGGGATCAAAGCAAGTTCTTTGCTCTGCCCAGGCAGGCGCTCAGACTGCCGAGCTATTTCCCCAGCCTGAGGTCATATCTTAAACATCATTTCCCATACTAGGTTTTTTATTTATTTATTTACTTACTTATTTATTTATATTGAGAAATAAATATGAATGAGACAGTTTCACAGCTGATTAATAGGACAGTTTTGATAATCAGTACACTGTACACTGTTATCTTCTTAGTGGTTATCCATAGTACAAGAAGCAGACAGGATATTTTGTCCAAACACTGTTAGTACACCTCTTTCTTCTCATTGGAATATGCGAAAGTAGCTGTAAATTTATCCTAACTATTTTGTATATATAAATACAAAATGATCTTTCCTTTGTATCCTTTTTTTTTTTTGTCCTGTCAGAGGTGAATATTCTATTGGCATCTAAATACTATAGGTGTTTGAATTCAACTAAACAATCTAACACTGTCTAGCAGTCTATAATATTAGTGGGTTATCCTCAGAAGTTATTGACTTGAGCCTTTTACAGCTCATCATATTAATATGGATTTACTTTATATACCTTGTTTTTATACTTTTCTGTTGAATGGTTAAGACCTAGATGTAGCAAGACCTATATACCAAGAAATGTAACTTTTGTATCTGATAAGGTCAGCCAAGTACTCTCAGGATTTATCCTGTAGCCCTGTACCGCCTTTTATACATCCTTTTGTCAGTGTCGGACATGAGGATGAATCACGGCCATTGCTTGGCCAATGTGCTCTCTGTGAAAGCCTGAGAGAGTGTTTTCTCTCCATGTGACTCTACTTAGGCACGCTCTACGTCATCGATCACTTTCCTCTTTGGCCCCATAATCTTCTTGATCAGAAAATTTGGAGCACAACTGAGTTACATGTTGTTACAGTACAGGTTCTCCTATGTCCCGAGTCTTCACTGACCTTGAAAGGCTAGGGCCAAAATGTTGGCTAACCTTGCAGCCCTTCCTTTTCTAGAATTTTGAACTGCTAACTTAGGTTGTTAACCCTCCAGAAGAGAAGCTAATTATTAACCTGCAATATATGCAGTTTGGTTTACCCTACCTGTCTAAATATCAAACATTTTGGCATATCGTGGAAACAGGTATTTTCCATCAGATAATGATATGTTGAACTTTAAGTCCTTACAGAATATGAAGGAAAAATAATTATATAAAAGTAGAAATAAGCATTTACATATTTTTACAAAGAAATTTAGAAACCTTACCATATATGGAATCGTAAGTCCTTATACTAGGGAGACAATACGATAGTTACAGATGTGGGTCTGGTTTTTTTTCACTAATAAGTATATCTTCAAGTGGCATCCACTTGAATATGAAGGCTTCAAGTTTATCATTCTTTATAGCTGAGTAGTACTCCATTATGTAAAAGTACCACATCTTTTTCAACCATTCTACATGTGACGGGCATCTTGGTTGTTTCCAAGATCTGGCTATCACAAGTTGTACTGCTATAAGCATAAGTATGTATATATCACTATGATATGATGCTTTCAGTTCCTCCGGGAAAATTCCCAGTAGGGGGATAGCAGGCTTGAATGGGATTTCCAGTCCTAGTTTTCTGAGGAGTCTCCACACTGATTTCCATAATGGTTACACCAGTCTACACTCCCACCAACAGTGGAGAAGGTTTCCCCTTTCCCCACAGCCTCTCCAACATTTGGTGTTGGTTGATTTCTTTATGATAGTCAGTCTTTCTGGGGTTAGATGGTATCTCAGTGTTGTTTTAATTTGCATTTCATGGATGGCTAGTGATGTGGAGCATTTTTTCATATATTTATTCGCTTCTTTAATTTCATCCTCTGAGAAGTGTGTGTTCATCTCAGATGCCCGTTTCTGGATTGGGTCTTTAAATTTAGAGGCCCTAATGTTCTTTGGTTCTTTATAAATTCTAGAGAGCAGACCTTTGTTTGAGTGCTTATTAGTTAAGATTTTTTTTGAAGTTTGTGGGTTGTCTTTTTACTTTGTTGGTAATTTCTTTTGATGTTAAAAACTTCTCAATAAGAGGTGGTCCCAGTTGTTAATTCTTTCAAGTGTTTCCCGTGCGATTTGGTTTCTGTTCATGAACTCTTTGCCTCCCGCTCTGTCTTCAAGAGATCCTCCTACTTTCTCTTCTAGGAGATTTACTGTTTCTGTTTTAATTTTCAGTTCTTTAATCCATTTTGATTTTAGTTTAGTGCATGGTAATAGACCTGAGTCAAGTTTTAGTCTTCGGCATGTAGAGAGCCAAATTTTCCTGCACCATTTATTAAACCAGTAAGTGTGTTTGGCCCCTTTGTCAAAGATCAGGTGGCTGAGTGCATTCCTAGAAGCCTCTGCATCTACTAGTCTATTCCATTGATCCTCAGGTCTATTTTGTTGCCAATACCATGCTGATTTTATTACCGTAGCTTTGTGGTATAATTTTAAGTCAGGATTTGTAATGCTTTCTCCTTTGTCTTTGTTGGCCAGGACTACCTTTGCTATTCTAAGTCTTTTTTGGTTCCAGATAAATTTTAGGAACAATTTCTCTAGGTCTGGGAGGTATGTTGATGGTAGTCTCATAGGGATTGCATTAAATCTATACAACAATTTTGGTAGTATGGCCATCTTCTCGATGTTGGTTCTTCCTATCCAGGAGTATGGAATATCTTTCCATTTTCTGAAATCCTCTGCAATCTCTTTTTTCAAAATACTGTAATTTTCCATGAAAAGATCTTTGATTTCTTTAGTTCAGTGAATTCCAAGGTATTTCATTTTTCTCGGGGCTATTGTAAAAGGTATTGTTTCCCTAATTTCCCTCTCAGTGTGTTTGTTATCTGTGTAGAGGAATGCTATTGACTTTTGGGTGTTGACTTTGTATCCTGCTATGCTACTGAATTTGTCTATCAACTCTAGTAGTTTCTTAGTAGTTTTTTTGGGTCTTCCAAATAAAGTATCATCCATACCAGGTTTTTGATATATTTCTTCTACATTTATTTGTAGGAGTTTAAGAGTTCTAGGTTTTATGTTGAGGTCTCTGATTCATTTTGGGCTACTTTCATGTACTGTATGAGGAAGGTAATTGAATTCTTCTAATGTATATCTAGTTTTGAACAAAAATCATTTGTTAGATTTTTTCTTACTGTATGTGTATTCATAATGCCTTTGTCAAAAATCATCTGGTTGTAGGAACATAGGTTAGTTTAGTGATTCTTTGTTCTGTTCCATAGGCATTTGCATCTGTTTTATGCCAGTACCATGCTGCTTTGTTTACTATTAGCTTTGCAGTATGCTTTGAAGTCATGTATTGTGATGATTCTAGGTTTTTGGTTTTGTTTTTCCCAGGATTGCTTTAGCTGTTTTGAAGGCTTTGTCTTTCCATATGAATTTTAGGATTTGTTGATGTTGTTGTTACTCTTGTGGAGTCCTTGGTACTTTGTTGGGAATTGCATTGAATCTATAGATGGCTTTAAGTATTGTCGTTATTGTTCTCTCATTGCTGAGATAAAATACCTGATACCCAAAGTTAAAGGGGTAAAGTTTTCTTTACCTGACAATTGTAGAGGTTTCAATTCATAATCAGCTGGCTCAGAGTCAGACTGGTACATGTCAGATGAGAGCAAATAGAGCTGCAAAAGACAGCACAAGCTAAAGTAAGGAGAAAAAAACAGCAAGCCTCTTGTTGTCTTTTATATTGTATCTGATCTAGTAGGATTAAGGCAGTGCCAATTCAATCAATGGACTGATTCAGCAATCACTACTTTTAATCTCAGCACTCTCATACCACCATTGCAATACAAATCAGTCATACACTGTAGATCTAGTCACCTCTGAAAAAATTCTATGACTACATGAGGCTTTGGGGAGTACAATGAGACAAAATACATGACATTGTGCACCTGCCCACCCCAAAGACTCATGCATATGCATCTATGAAAATGACACTTAGTCCTTTTCCAAGAATTGCCAAAGATCTAACAGTTTCAGCATTGCTGAAAAATCCAAATCCCAAGTCTCCTCTGAGATTTAAGCCAAAAACTGTTAGCTATGAGCCCCTATACAAATAAAAAGAAAGTTAAACACTTCCAAAATTCAAAGGTAGAAGATAATCATTTCCATT